TTGGGTTGGCAAAAAATTGTGAGCCCATAAATTCATGGTATGTCAAACAACTAAATATAACGAACTCCTTTCAATTCATGATAGATGTAAAGCATCCGGACAATAAGAAGGCAAAGAAAAGTGAGATTGCTTGATTTTGTGTTAAAATCATTTTTTCTATAAATTAAGAAATAATGGATTGATATTACTCAATAGTGTTGATGGAAACCATGCAAGAGGAATTCAAGGGTTTGGAGGAGGAGCTTGGGGACCTTTTTGAAAATAGTGATGTTCAGCTCAAACATGCTAGGAAAATAAAGTCTATCCAAAATCAAATAAAACTTTACATTCAAAATTGGATTTTACTTCAACCACATACCAAAGGCTTAGAAATTCAACCAAGTGCTTCAACCCTTCATGATGGGTATTGCAGGTGGGGTGAAGTGTATGAGTAAGAATGTTCCATATGTCTTTCATGTTCATAAATATGGACTTTGGAATAAAAATTGATCTGTCTTATTGAAATAATTTGTAAAACTTAGATTGACACTGAACTTAAAAGTTTATATGAAGCATGAATTTGAGGATTTAATTTCCAAGCTTGGAATCAAATCCAGAAGATTTCTCAAGGGAGGGTATAATTCACCAAAGGTGACAAGATTGAAGGCAAAGTTACAAAGGACCAATTTACCAGAGGATGTCTCCAAAAATGTCTTTATACCTCAGGAGATACATCAATTAATTATGAAACAATCAATAAGAGATTTGCCTCAAGTGTTGCTTTCATTGAATGAAAATAGTCTCTATTTTATCACAAATGCTGATTTCATGAGATTTCAAAGGCTCTCATTTCAAACAGCAGATTTTCTTTACAGATATGAATTACTATCTGTTGATGATTTCAAAAACTTATTTAAAACAAATGAAACAATAGAATATGCTGCATACAATATGATAATGTCTTTTGCATATTTCCATGAAGAAAGTTGTTACTGGAGACCTCTCAATGTGAAAGCCATTTTGGATAGCTGGTATTCATCCCCCTTTAGGAACATTTATGAAGGTACTCAATTTTGTCTCTTATATGTTGGTTGCAATTTGAGCTGACATGTTTTCCCTGTTATCATCATACTTATTTTTCAGTCCTGGAAAAACCCAAGAAAAATTACTTCTGGTATTCAGCTTTGAAATTTGCATTCAAGTATCACCTCAAAAAAAACAGACACAAAGAGGAATGGGAGAAGAACCTTAATTGGAAATCATTCTATGACAAATTATTTGAAAAAGATATTTTTTTTCATGCATTGGAACAAGAATCTTTTGAAAATTTTCACCCACAAGAATCAAAAGATGTTAAAGAATTAATCCAACATGTAGCTGATGTTTTTAAAAATTTTAAAAATTTAAGTGAACATCAGCAACAAGAAACAGTTGCAGAGCTAAAATTTTTCTACCAGGTGTTGGAATTCATTGAAGAAAAATATAGCCATAATGCATCAAAATTTTACAAAAAAAGTGAAAGTTTCCAGATGGATCTCCAGCTCATGTCTTCAAGCAACCAATTTATAGGAGAATTAGAAGATATTCAAATGTACTCATATGATAAATTTTACAACTCTAATTGGGTTAAAAATAGAGAAAACTTGAACCATTATCTAGATCAGCTTCACCGCATGAATGAGCATATCACAAATATCTACTCAGATCATTTAAAACAAATTCAAATATCTGTGGTGGCTATTCACCACAAATGAATTGTTATTGCCAGCATGATAGAGTACTGAATTATGTGGAAAGGTTACAAAATGATTCAATACCTTATTTTTAAAGGCGATCATACAGTTCATTGTACAACCTGAATGTTGAACAAAGATACAGTTATAGCAAACTTGAAATTTTCAAATATCTTACATATGTTGTTTTCTTTCTTTATTACTGTTACGGGCGTCATTTTTAGAGATAAAGAGCCCATTAGAAATATATTCAATAATCATATAGCCTGTTTACTCATGTTGCATTCCAACAGCTCACTACCCCTTCCCAGTTATGCTTAGTCAAGTAGCATATTTACAGTCAGAAGAGAAGTGAAACTCACAAACAGACATTTGCCTTACACTACCAGCAATACCCATTTTGCCCCAAAAATAAATGGCAATTTGGGTGGGGGAAAATGGATCAATTTTCTGGAAAATTTTTCCAAAATGCCTCAGGAGTAGAAATTAGGCTAAACTGAGCTATTTTAGCCCAGAGATAGCAATTCATCAAACATTCCAAAATGAATTTTTAGCTCATTTGAGACATTTTTATTTTTTGACTAAAATAGCTCATTTTAGCCTAATTTTTTACTCCTGAGGCATCTTGTAAAAAAGTTCCAGAAAATTGATCTATTTTCCACCATCCAAATTGCCATTTTTCCTTGGGGCAAAATCAGTATTGTTTGTAGTGAGCCTTACCCCCCCCCCCCTAGCCTGGGGAAAACAGTTTGAGTAGACCCACCAGGATTCGTGGGCCAGGAAACATTTGGCAATCTCTTATTGATTTTTTTGTGATATACACCAATCCCCTCATACCCTCCTTGGCTATCTTACTCATCACCCCACCCTCCCTCCTGAAGAAAAAAATAGAGTTAAGAAGGAACATCTTGGTGTCCTTCAAGCATAAAAAACATGGGCTAATAAAAGCAAGTCCAGTCAACTCTTGAAGAGGGAGAAAAAAAGAAGATGATGAGTAGGTAGGATATGAATTAGTGTAAAGAGAAGGGAAGAAGGATTGACAGAATGAAAATTGAGATGGATTATGTGAAGCTGATAATTAATATGAGTTAATATTTAACAGGTTTCTTGAAGATTGTTGAGAAAAACTCTGTCACTTGAATCAACAATCCATTCACATACTTTCCTCCCTCCCTGAACAAAAAAACAACAATCCATTCTATTGTCTCTTGACCCTTGCCATCACCCAAGAAAGAAAGAAAGACAACATAAAGAATAACATTGAAACTTTTACAATTAGTGAATCTGCATTTAAAAAAATGGAAATCAAAACAGGGTTTTTTGTGGTTGTGTTTTTTTGGTCAAGTGGTAGAAGTTGATGAACTATCAATGAATTTTGTTTTGATTTTTGATCTTTTGGAGCTAGCGGGAAGAAGCATCGGATCTTCTGAGCTTTCTCTAGCGCGTCTTTCTTTTTCGTCATCTTCCTCTTCATCTTGATCATCAGCATGATTATGGTCCTGTTCCTGCGGATCTTGTTGACGTTTCTGATGATGATTGCGGAGATGATTGGTGATAGGAGGAGGTTGAGGGGGAGAGTGAGGCTTGAATTTTTTAGCTTTATGAGCGGTGTTTGGAGGGGAAGGGAAGAGCAAGGCGGGGCGGATTGAGGAAGAGATAGTTCTAGGCGAGGAGAAGATGGGGGAGGAAGGGCGGGGGCGTTTGCGAAGGACGGAGCAAGTCTGGGGCGACGTGTGTAGGGCACCACCGGTCTCGCTCGTTGGCTGGAAGCTCTTCTGGCGCAGAGTCGAGGGCGTCACGGGGACCGAGAGTAACGCCCTCGGCCGGTTGTCTTGCACCGGCCGAGATGATCCCGTGCCACACGGATTTAGAAGCCGCTGTAGGTACGGCGAGATCATCGGCTCAGTCGTGGTCAGTACTGAGGACAGTGAGGTCGAGGTGATTAATGACTAGCATTCCCCAGAGCAACATTACAAACACGTTAATCTTCAATTTTATTCTCTCAAACCAGACAACAGTTAAGAAAAGTAAGATCTGTTTTCAATCAAAGGGAGAAAGCTGACCGAGCTGGGGGATGAAAACCCGCACGATTCATCATCCGGTCGATACAAATTACGGGAGATTGAGGCCTTATGGAGCTTATGTCTTGTGATATCGGAGGATCGTTCCTGGACGCGTTTTTTAAGCCTTTCGAAAAGAGCATTGGTGACAGTATCTTGTGAATCTAGATATGATATCCTAGGCGTGGATTGGTCTGTGAGCGAGTCTGGAGCTGATTGGCTCGTGCTCGAGTCGCTCGTCGATGGCGGCAAGAGGTCTAATTTTTTCCGCTTTCCGTTTGACTCTTCTTTCCGTCGGATATTTTGAGAGGACGATGATGATAAAGAGGAGGAGGTTGAGGATGATGAAGGGATTGAGTTGATAGATGAGGAGTCCGAATCATCGCTGTTGTAGTCTTCATCATCGGTGCTACCGCTCTGATCTTCGTTGAGATGGTCATCATCATCCTCATCATGCTGGCCAGCCCATTCGTCCTGATTTTCGTCTTGATCATCTGCGTCCTGGGAGGTGGGATCGAGGAGTTCAAAAATTTCGAGGCGGGGATCCGCCCTGTTTTTGCCCTTGAGGGAACTAGGCGAAGGTTGGGAATTGTGGGAGAGACGCTTGAGGATGTATCCGCGGTCCTCGATGACCTGTAGTTGATCCAGATCGATCACGTCGTCCGATTCCTCGTCCCCGTCGCCCTCGTACCGAGCCGCAATGCTCTCCAGGGCGCGTACGAATTTTCGCATCGACCGGTTCCTGAGTGCGCAGATGTTCTCCAGGTCGAGACTCGGCTCATCTGGGGCACTGGCCGGGTCGGAGGTCGACAGGAATCGTTCGAGGGGTGATAGGTTGATTGATCCTGGACTCATCGTGAGGTATATGGTATGGTTATCGGTCGGTATCAGTACCCCTTGAGCCTGGGAGTGGCCAGTTGGCTTGAAAGTTGCCAGCACGCGTCTCCCCCGCGACTCGGGCTTGACATACTGGCCTCGGATGCCCGGAATCAGCTGAGACCGGGGAGTCATTCCCCCGGACCTGGCTCCCACGCCCCTAGATAGTCAGAATTCAAACACGGGCTTCCTACCATTAACCACAACCTCACTACCTTTGATTACAAAAACATTTGATTGAAATCTTTCTTTTTCCACTCCTTGGCTTCTCTTATGAGCTACAGCCTGGCTCAATACTCCACTCAAACAGCTCCTTTCTCTCGACCGACCCTTTCTTCTATAGCGCTCAAGAATGACAAAGAACAATAAGTCAGCAGCTGGAGGTCCCAAAACCAGTGTGCCAACCACCCTTGATACGCTTTTCAACACCTTACAGGCACTGGTGAATCAACTAGATAAGATAGAAGCTCTCAGCCAGGAATCTTCCTTAAACTCAGAAATCTCACATCACTCAATGGAATTCCTCACTGCGCAATTGGACAACCTAGCCAAACGACTAGAACAAATGGACAAGACCTTATATTCCAACTCTATTCACAGTCTTGATATACAAACCAACACACCGGTAGGTACCAATGCACCAACAAGGAAAGATGTCTTATGCATCTGCAGCTACATCATCTTTGAAGCAAACTACAGCTCAAATCACCACTCCAACTAGATCAATCAAGAATATACCACACCCATTACCATTGATTCCTTCTAACAGTTGCATAAACCATTTCAAACAAGGCCATACTATCATCAGGACGTGTACAGGGAATGAAAATCCCTTCTTGAACCTATCTCTGATGCAGATTGTTACCAATTTTAAGCAAGCCCTCAGCTCAATCAACAAAAAGATTGATAATACACTAGTTCAGGTTCAAGCAGTCACCCAATTTCCCACGGGTGACATCAAGTTCATTACTAAGAATCAAAAAATGGCAAAGTGGCTACTCAAGCACAAACACTCTTGGACCCATTTAGAGATTGTTCATTCGTACTCAGGTACCTGTTGGATTTTTTCAAAAAATAGGTACCAAGTACCGCACCAGGCACCTCCCAGCGGGTACCGGCGGTACTTTTGGCGGGTACCGCGGGTACCTCCCCTCTCTTTCTAACCTAGGTTCACTTTCAGATTACCAAGTCACTTTTTTATTATTATTTTTTTCATATTTATTGTAAAATATCAGTCCCAAGTCACTTTTTTTCCATTCTTTCATATTTATTGTGAAATGTTGACAACAAATTGGAAGAATCCTACTTTGTTATTATATTTTCATATTTATTGAAAATATCATTCCCAAGTCACTGTTTTTCCTTTTGTCATATTTGTTGTAAGACATCTTAAACTAATTGGAAGAACCTTACTTCATTATTATTATTATTTTCATATTTATTGTAAAATATTACTCAAGTCACTTTTTTGGCATTTTTTCATATTTGTTGTCAAGTATTTACATCTAATGGGAAGAATCTTGCCTTTTTTCATATTTATTGTAAAATATCAATCCCAAGTCAATTTTTTCATTTGTTCACTCACATTTAATAATTTATTTTAAAGCTTAAACTGTCTACAAATTATATCTAATTACAAGAATATTCATTGTTGTCCAAAACTATCACCTTCCTTTTTGATTTTTGGTTAGACTTCTTGTTATCCTTGAGTCCCTGTTTCCATGTAGCCAAGGTACCTTCTTGGATTTCTTGGAGTAGAAGGCCACCGTCATTTTGGTAGGGAAGTGAGGGGGTACCTGCTCAATTTTTCACAAAAATAGGTACCAAGTACTGCACCTGGCACCTCCCAACGGGTGCGGGGCGGGTGTGAAGGGTACCCCCCAAGCGGTACTAGGTACCTAGCAAAGGGTACCACGGAACGATCTCTAGACCCATTTGGCAGACCCAAACTTTAAGACACCAATGGCCACTTACACAGTTATGATTCACTCTGTTCCAACCGAATTTGAGGCAAATAACAACAATCACCTAAAGATTCTCTGTGCTCAAAACAACATTCCTTACAACATGATAGAAAACGCACAATGGATAGGCCAAACTTTGAAGAACGGAAAACAACATGGCACTCTGTTAATCAATGTGAAGGATAAAAAACTCTCTCAAGACATTGCACAAGGCAGTTTAATAATTGATGGCACTCTACTTACAGCTTCAAGATACACTCTTGGTACACCTAAATGCTTCAATTGTTTAGAGATGGGACACCCCCTTTATATTTTAAGAGACCTCCACTCTGTGCTAGATGTGGAGGTAAACATAATTCAAAAGATTTTCATATTGAAAATCCAAGTGGCACCTGCTTCAGATGCATTAAAATGGACCAAAACAAGAACAAATTCACTAGTTTGACAGACATAAAATATACACTCTCTCCATTTAGTATTCAATTTCCCTTCAAGAGCATTGAAGTTAATAAGAATCAATAAGATACATCCATCTCTTCACTTCTGGACTGGTTTTATCTCATCTTCTAGAATTTTTTTTTGTTGAATTGTTCCCTTTTTTCTTCTTTTTTTCCCTTTCTCTCATTAAGATATTTTTAGGTTCTTCCTTCTAACAGCTTTTAACAGTCATTAACTTAACACTTAGTTAGGTTCTTTTTGTTACACTTAAATTACATAACTATTCTAGATGGTGATAGTATCCAAAGATCTGTAATTGGTATATGACATTAGATTATAGTGTGACATGTGAAATCAATAACAATTTTTTAAAAAAAAAAACACCAAACACTCACTGTAGAGTTGATGGCACAATGCCCAACGTCGGGCACCAATGTGTGCACCCTGCCTCACCAAACGTTCAGGGCTGGTGTGCACCTCAATCTTAACTAGTCCTGCACAGGCGGGAGTGGTGGCAAGCAGCAGAGCTGTCCACACCAGTGGAGGCCTATGCCCAATGCCAAACTTCCTGAGTTTTCCAAAGCGGCTTGGCTAACCAACTCCCAAATATTGGAGAGTTGACTCCCAAACCCCCAATCCCCCAGCTATTCCCCCAATTTACCCAACAATTGGGAGTCAATCCCCCAAACCCGTCAGCAGGTTTGGGAGTTGGTCCCCAAAAATATTTAGGGTCTTAGTTAAACAACTCCCAGAAATTGGAGTTCTGACTCCCAAATTTCTGGGACATCAAGAGGACCCTCTTCATACAGTCCTCAGGATGTCCAACCTTGTAATTGAAAGTCAGACCTCCAAAACCCTCAACAGGTTTGGGAGTTGTTCCCCTAATAAAAAATAAAATCAAATAAATTAAAAACCTGTGGGGTTTTGTGAGTCAATCCTCTAAAAGCGCCAGGGGGGTTGGGATTCCTCTTGGCTGCTGAGAGTGAGAGTGTGTACTCTCAAGGCCAAGAGGGATTCCTCTCACCCTTCAAGAGTTTTACACTCTCTGCAACCAAGAGGGATTCCTCTTGGTTGCAGATAGTGTACAACCTGTTGAGAGTGTACAGCTCTCAGCAACCAAGAGGAATCCCTCTTGGCTGTTGAGAGCACACACTCCCAGCAGTTGTGAGGAATTCCTCTTGGTTGGCAAGAGTCGTACACTCTCAGTGACCAAGAGGTATTCCTCTTGGGCGCTGAGAGTGTATGCTCTCAACATCTCCCTCTTGGTTGGTGAGAGTGGTACACTCTCAGCAACTAAGAGGGATTCCTGCTGGTTGGTGAGAGGTTTACACTCTCATCAACCAAGAGGGATTCCTCTTGGCCAGCAAGAGTTTTTTTATATATTTTTATATATTTTTTATTAGGGGATTGATTCCCAAACCTTTTGAAGGTTTTGGAGTTCCAACTCCCAATTTTGGGTTTGGGCATCCTAAGGACTGTTCTTAGAAGGTCCTCTCAACATCCCAGAAATTTGGGAGTTGGGCCTCCAATTTCTGGGAGTTGTTGAACTAAAACCCAATATTTGAATAAATGAAAAGGAAACCACCAAAGCGGTTGGGAGTCAATGCCCCAAAACCCAGTGGGTTTTGGGGGGTTGGTGAACCAAAACCCAGCAGTGGGTTTTGGGGGGTTGGTGAACCAAAACCCAGTGGGTTTTGGGGGGTTGGTGAGCCAAAAAAAAACCAGGGGCCAGGAGGATTCCTCCCGGCTGCGCAGAGTGTACTCTTCACATCCAAGAGGATTTCTCTGGGCTATCAAGGGTGTACACCTTCACATCCAATGTGGTAATTCAATCCTGAATCTCAGAGCACAAAAAGACTACAAATCACACAGGAATCACAGACTCAAGACCCCTCAGGAATTCCCCAGGCCCTCAAACAAATCCAACACACCAGTCATCTACATAATTGCCCCTCCCTCATGGACAATAAATCTCCCTCACCTCTGAAACTCCTCAAATGAAACCCAATACCAAATTCCTAGTTCACTCTTGATAAGACTTAGCCCACACACCAACTACACACCAGTACCCCTTCTCAATATAACCTCAAAACCCTCTAAAAATATTCCTTATCTCTTATCTCCTTCCATCTTATGCCAAGAATTCTCACACAACAGCCATGTTTCATACTAGTCCTCTTTTGGCCCTTTCTTCCCATTGCTTGTTCAATCTCCATCTGGGTGAAATAATTACCCCCACCTGTTCCCCTTGCTAAAGAATATCCAAGCCCCTCTCTGTTTCAGGTTGAATTCATTATCTTATCTTAGCTTGGCTCTTTCTCTTGTTTCAGTCTAGTTTTATCTTATATTAGTTCCACACTAAATTAGGCCACATTTTTCATAGTTAAAATTTTCTTCCTTGTTCATTCTTTGTTCCAATTTGTTCCATCCATATTCCAACCACAAATTTGCCACTCCCCAGAATCTTGTATATAAGGAGCTTTGTTTTTCTCTTCATTTGTCCCACATCAGAGCCTGACCCAGAAATGTATTAGCCAGGTATATTCCCATCAACATTTGGGATACCTTAATTTGTGAACATTTATGGGGGTTGATAAGCGCACGCCAACCCCCATGGCGCACGCCATTGCAGAATGGCGTGCGCCATGGGGGTTGGCGTGCGCTTATCAACCCCCATAAATGTTCACAAATTAAGGTATCCCAAATGTTGATGGGAATATACCTGGCTAATACATTTCTGGGTCAGGCTCTGATGTGGGACAAATGAAGAGAAAAACAAAGCTCCTTATATATAGATTCTGGGGAGTGGCAAATTTGTGGGTTGGAATATGGGATGGGAACAAATTGCAACAAAGAATGAACAAGGAAGAAAATTTTAACTATGAAAAATGTGGCTTAATTTAGTGTGCAACTAATATAAGGATAAAACTAGACTGGAAA